GAAAAATATTAGTTTACTGGAGTTGAGACTTTTCCCATAATGCATTGAAATACACATTATTTCACTCATTAGAGTTCAATATCTCCAAGGCAGAATAAGAACCAGGGAGGGTTGTTAAGGGAACTCCATTATTGTTGAACAATAAAGAAGTAGCTAAGCTTATTGATAGCCCAAACTTCCCATAGGCTACATTATCCTGATTGCCAAGAATGAGTTTTCCTGGTTATTGTTGGTTTTCTGTGTATGAGTGTGTGTGCACATGTACTTGCTTATTATATTAAAACTCTTAATTTCTGGGTTATTGGAACAACCCACCCTTTTCTCAGGGGCATGATGCCTGAATTGGGATTGCCTCTCAACTCCAGATGTTAACTGAAGAAAAATACAAGGAAGAAGACTTCCCATATTTCCAAATGAAATGAGGCAGAACAAATGAAAGAGGATAACTTGCCTTGTGCAGAGAACTAAAAGTGTACATTATTAAGAGGTATAGCCATGTCTGTGCAAACACAGTAACTCATGTCAAATAAATTGTGCTTTCTGCAGGAAAGAACTCTTGCTCTGGGTTTTCCAAGCTAAATTGCATGAAAACACACAATCCTTTTTCTTCTTATTTGAACTGTTAGATGACGGGGCCAAATTACCAGAAAAGACCAAAGGCAGTTTGCAGCCTTTAACAACTGAGAGGACTTATTGCTTCCAATTTGGAAATACAAAAGATCCTGTGTTGACTCCCAACACTCCCAGGTCCTATGCATTTCCCATTAGTTTGGTGAAGAAAGAAAACCTGTAAGTAAAAAAAGATACCAAAGTTCTCTGGGATTTAAAAATGGAGATTGTGTGGGCCAAAGATATTGAAGCAGATACTTTTCAACTTCTTAACAGCACGGATAATTCTCTACCCCTGGTCAAATGTGGTCCCAATGTTCTGGGTCTCCTGGTGTCAATCACTCCCCCTGGGCTTCACAGGAACTATTTTTCAGACCCCATCAAAAGCCATTAAGGCTGTAAGATAGCCAATTCCTGTTCTTCAGCTCCACAATGAAGAAACCCAAGGGAAGTAATGCATCTGTTTTTCAATACCTGAGGCCACTTTGTTTCCAACCTTAATTGCACTTATGCATTAGTTTGGGGTCTAATATCCCCACTCATCTTGCGCCAGTGTCCACTTTTCCACTATGAATACAGAACTTAGGAAACATAATTGCAGTGTGTGCTAGACAGGGATTTTCATTAAGCACACAGAAGGAAAAACAGTTTTAGGGAGAGACATTTCTTTTCTATTGATTCAATCAAAATAACTTGGAAGAAAAGGTTGTGCTTATTAAATTCTTTTCAAAAGGTAGTTGTTAAAATTTAAGTTCTTTCTCAACAGCTTGTTTTTTAAAATCAGTGTATAATCTCTTCGGATTTTGTCATTTATGATTTTTTTTTTGTTCTTCCCAGTTCCTTTGAAATTTGTGACTTTTAATGGTCTCTTTTATTTTTATGTTTTTTAAAGAAAGCAAAGGTGGAGACTTTTAGATGGAGGCAGAGAATGTAATCAACACTGCTGTCTTCAAGACATGGAGTTGCCTAGCAATGAGAAAGGAATTAAAAGGAGGAAGCAATAACAAAACTGAATGTTGTGAAATTACAAGAGGGTAGAGTGTTAAATGGGCTTGCAATATTTATCAAGAGGTCTTTAAATGAGAATGGATATAGGATTTTCTAGCAGTAGTATAAAACAATAGCTGACCATTTTTCAATGTTCTTCCTATCTTTTATTTGCAGCAGTTTACCCAAAGGTTTTCTGCTGTTTTCAGTTCATTACTGGGCAAAATCTAGGAAAGAAATGTCTGAGGAAAAAATACACAACCCTATGGAGCCACTAGTATCTGAGTTCCTCTCCAGTTAGGCTAGCTAAGTTTAAGAGACACATATACCTTTCATATTTCACATTGTTCTATAGGCTTTTGTCCTGTGGATAATGCTGTTCCCTTTGTTGCTCTCCACCCAAATATCAAGAGTTTTCTTGAAAGTCTTCATGCAAAGGTAAATGAGATTGCTACTGTTTGTGACTCAAACTCTCTCAACACCAAATCTATTCACCTAGGTCTTTCCATGATCCCAATATTTGTAACACAGAAGCAAAAACTTTCCCAAAACAAAGATTCAGTTTGTTCTCTTCATTGGTTTTGATTTTTGCCAAACCCTTCTTTAAGGAAGGAAACTATCGCTGGAATCCTGGAAATGTCTCTATACCATTAATTGTTACAAACTTCTATCGGTGCTATAAACACAACATAGAATAAGGGATTAGCCCTTGGGAGATGATAAGGGACAGACAAACTCCAACGGAGTAGTGATAAGGATTATACTTGAGAAATTAAACAGGTTGACGATAGAAAATGCTGAGACAGGTGATGAAACCCATCCTGATGTCAGTAAATAAATTTTTCAATATTTTGATTGGGAAGGAGACCATAGGAATCTGTATGGTCCTTTATAGTATCAAGGAAATATATCCACAGTGAAGATCAGGAGATCTGGGTTCTAGCAATAGCTATGCCATGAACTACTTGTATTTCTTGGAACCTTTTATTTTAATAAACAAAACAGAGCTGTTATGTTTACCACTGAGATCCCTTCCCATTCTCACATTTAGAAACTGGAATTCTAAGCATGCTTTTGGTCTGAAGAATAGTATATCTAAAACAAGCACTTCTGCTTTCTTCCCCATTCTAATTCCAAAGTGGAATGATTAGGGAATTGTAATTCTCTACCTTTGGATGCATTTAAGCTACAAACCCAAATCAGCTCAAAACTGCATAATCGTTAGCACTGTTGATATATATGTTCAGTTCTTTGCCTCCTTCATTGTTCCTAGGCAGAGACAGAGTAATATCTGAAGATCTTTATGAAATAATTTTCCTCCCTTGCTTTGGAATACAGCATACCCTGCTTACTTCTTTGTTGGATGCTAATGTTCCTCTTCCTGACTCCTAAGGAGGTGTGTCTGTATCTCTAGTTCCATTTTCTTGTCACATTGCCCATTCTTTCTTGACAACTCCTCAGTCTCCATGGCTTCACTATTTACTGATGATTACCTTAGTTCCAGATCTACATCTCTTCATTCTCCCGTAAATATTTCAAGGGTAGTTTGTTCAAACAATGATCTCAGACTTTTCTCCTTGCTAATGTGATTACTAATATTAATTGCATAACCCTTTTCCTTCTGTTAAGGGATTTGTTTTTATTTCTCCATTCATTCAAATCATTCAGCTATTAAGTCTGATTTGTGACACTGCTTCTCACATCAGCTATCTATTCCTATTTCTGTGGCCATTCCTCAAGAAGCAGATCTTACTTTCTCAGCTGAATTACTCAAGTCTCTTAACTTCTCCATTCCTGCTTCTCCTTACCATCCCGAAGACTTGCTCCATATTCATCTTCTGAAGTATAGTTTCAAAGCCATTGGATTCCCATATGTCAATATAATCAATCCCTACCATTAACAAAAATATCCATAAAATTGAGTAAAGGACATCTTGCTCTGATATTTGAGGTCTCTCATGCCACTGATTGAGCTGTTTTCCAGCTATCAACTGCTATCTCCTGTATCAATTTTATATTTCAACCAAACCAGGCTAAGTAGAACACACACTCAGCTTTCTTTCATTGGCTAATGTTGACCACTGAGACCTGTCTCTCTTCAATAGAGTGTATCATCAATTATGCTTAATTGAATCACATATTCAATGCTCCTTTCAAATGCTGTTGCTTCCACACCTTTCCTGAGAGTCCCAGTTAGACATGATTTTTTTAAATCCTCCCTAGCACCATCTACCTCTCTTTAGACATTTATTGTAACTTCATTTGCACTTATACTGGTCATAAACTTATTAGCAGGTATGAAGGTCTAGATCAGAGTTTGCCTCCTCCCTTTCCTGAAATACTTTGAAAGACTTAGCCTAATGTACTAAACAGCACTGGTATATTAATTAATAAATTAAGCTGACACAACTTCCTAATTATTCATGACTTTATTTATTCAAAATCTGACATCTAGTAAGTTTAGAACTAATAAAAATCAATAATATAGAGTAACATCAAATTGGATTTAGGATGAGGCTAAATTTTCTGTTAGTCTGAGGAGCCAAAGTTCAAAAGCATATACTGTTTCTATTATATGCTAAAATATAAAAGTAATACATTTTGAAAGTTTTGAATCAAATGATCTTATTGAGATATCCAGCATAAGCCCACAGTTTACTTAATCTCTTTGAGGCTCTGTTTCCTTATTTATAAGAAGGCAATGACAGCATTATTTATCCCAGAGGGCTGTTGAAAAGACAGTAGGATAATGTGTATCAGAAGCTTAGACAAGGTCTGGTTATATAGTAAGTGCTCAACAAATATTAGCTAATATGATCACTATTCTCATCATCACCCCTTATCAGCCAAATTAGCCAGCTAATAAAGATGGTCCTGAAATTCTTTTATACAGGAGATCCTATTCAAATCTGGTCTTCTAATTTGAACTTCTTTATCATTACACAGTAATCAAAAGAACTCAGACGACTCAGAAACCATCAGCTGTGGAGAATGAAGCATACAAGAATAATATCCAGGAAGAAAGATTACAGCAACTGAATTTAGGCTGCTTAAAAGGGTGCTTCTTGAAAGATTTATGTCATGAAAAAATATTCAGAATTCAGAAAATGAAAACAGGGACTGCCTGATTTTATTTCCAGGGAGAATATTAACTTTTATACAAAATTAGGTCTTAACGTGATATAGAGCAGGAAAATAAAAAATGCTCCTCTACCATATTGGAATAGACTAGCGGGAGAGCTGTGGAGTCATTTCAAGACATGACTCCCTCTTCTATTCCTGGGATACTGTTAATATGACTTCACTCAAATAAGGTGTGTGACTGAACACAGGTTTCCCCAGTCACATTGACCTAAAAATTTGAGAAGCTACCATAGATTCTTCCGATTACTTCCCATTCTTACCTGAACTCTCGTCCAGACTCTCCTCAGAGACATGCTCATTCTGATGGACCCACTCGCCATTGCATTTGAAGAATATCTGCATGGCTGGCCTTGCTTTGCACCTCAGTGCAATGGGGTTGCTCTTGATGATATAAGCATCATCTGGCTCCTCTATGAAATGAGGCAGGGTCCCAGGAGCTGATGGGATGGAATCAGGGAGGACTTCACCATTGTCGGTTCCTGTGAAATGGAAGGAGGTGTTAGAACAGTCTACACTGGCAGCACCTGCATCAGGGCCAAAACCACAACCGGCTCTAAGAATCTGTACTGGAAAACTCTGGATCCTAACCAGCAGGCCTGTAAGGCCTGTGCAGATGCAGTGTCTAGAGATTGAATTAGCATGACAGGGTACCTTTAGCCCAACACACATCCAGGATTATTGGACAAGTGAAGGTAATGAATAGGAGAGCTCCTCAGACTATAGCTGTTAATCTTTATATTTTTGTTGAGAGAACTGAGAGAGATATCTGTGGCTAAGATCCAGCCGGTGAATGGTTACCTCGAAGTATTCAATGAGGGCCCCCAGCTGCCTCAAAATGCTGAAATAGTGGAGGGAATAGATCTGGTTCTCCCATACATGAGTATGAATAATGGTGATGCTGGTGGAGAAAGGCCAGTCATAAGACATGTCCAAAGGATTGGCAACTGTCCACTTTCCTTACCTATGAACCTTGGAGACTGGTGTTCAACCTCAGATATAGTTTCTTTTCCAAACTTACCAAACCTTCTAAAGGGAATGTGCATTTCTTCTGCTTGTTTTAAACCATCATTCCCTGCCCCAACATTTCTGCCCAAAGATGACTTCATTTCAACGGCTAGGAACCAAAACAAATCCCTAACAAGCTATAGTTTAAGACCTATAGTAACATTTGCTCCAAGTGAAGAAATAAATATGTCTCCCCAAGTATAGGGAAGTGATGAGTGGAGAGAAATAATATGCAAAGGAAAAAGCAGGAGCCAAGACTTTGTTCCATTGCTGCTTTACTCTATTTAGCAAGGACTTGAGCCCCAGGAAATGGGCACACAGTCAAGGGAAGAAACATGTAACTACTGAGCAATGTGGAGCCTAACCAAGAAGAACCCTATTTTGTGCCTTCCCACGGCATTCCGGAGAAAGAACAAAGCAAGCAAATACCAAGTACTGGTACTGATCTTCAACACCAAGATCAACACCAAGAGAGGGCTTTTCCCATTCAAAGCAAACCAGTCTTTATGACTAGCTGGAAAAAGGGACCTCATGAAACCAGCAGAACAAAATCCAGGTCATCATAAGAGAGTCCAGAGACCAGGAGGTGTTTGTGTCCAACCTGGCTTTTTGGGTGTCATCATGTAATTCTGAACAGACATTTGTATACACTGAAATCATTAAGCTAAATGACTAAGCACTGTCAAGGGTAAACAAAACTCACAATATTAGGTGGAATGTCCTTTTAAAGAGTCTGTAGGGGGAATCATCAATGACAAAAGGACATAGGAGGAATGACTGCCTATAATTTTGTGTCTGTGTAAAGAAAAAATAAAAGACATTGAGTTATGGGAAAGACTGTTCACCAACAGGAATACATAAGTACTACCCCACTGAAATAAACACAACAGCTTGATTCTCCAAACTGTTTTTTCATTATATGTATCAAATCAAGGTGGTGGGGGGCTCACATATTAAAGAGCTTGAGATTTATGTTTTCAAATACATTTGTAATAGAAAAGTTAACTCAAGTTAATAGAAAAGTTAACTCACAAGACGAAAAAACCATCACTAAAGCCAATATTCCAAATAATGAGAGAGCAAATAGTTTAAGTCATAAAAGTTTGATAAACTCCTTCAAAAAATAAAATATGTATCTATCACATGGAAAAAGAAGGGTTTCAGGAGAGAATCTGAGAAGTGTGTTTTTTTTAATGTTTTAAATTATATTTACAATGGGCTTCACAAAATATGTCACATATTAATTCATTTCGTTACTGACTGCTCAAGGCAATTTCCATCTTCAATACATACCAAGTCTCCTCAGGCTTCTGTAAATCCATGCATTCAAGGAAATGACAAAGGTATTAAAAGATTTTATATGGGCATCAAACAGCTCACACTCCCATCAGGGATTTGAATTTTGTCCAAAGTAATTCAATGTTATAGAAAAGGGTCACCCAATAAAGAACAAATCCAGAGCCCCAAAGGGGTAGCGAAGTGAACACAGGTGTACATTACGTGTTGTTGGGTTTAATTAGTACTAATAACAATGCATAAACGTGAGAGAAAACTACTGAAATGGAGTAAGTGGTCACAGGAAAGAGTTTCTAAGTAAACAGACAAGAGCAAACCAGCCTAAGTAAAATGACTGGAATATAAGATAAATCAAGCTTTAACCATCTGAGTCCCAAAACACAGGGATCTGAACGCAATTAGGATATCTTCCTGCTATTTTAATAAAGCCCCTTTTGATAAAATAGTTCAGTCTTCAGAGAGTAGAAGAGGGGAATGGGAAAGTCTGCTCTAAGTGTCCTGGCGGTTCCAAGGATGTCCATAAAGAATCAATCAATCTTAATTATAAAATAGAAATAGACTCACAGACAGAGGTAACAAAGTTATGTTTATCAAAGGGGATATGGCAGGGTATAAACTAGGAGTTTAGGAATAATGGACATACACTATTATATAAAAAACAGGTAAACAATAAGGACCTATAGAACAGCACAGGGAACTATTCAATACCTTTTAACAACTAACCTAGAATGGCAAAGAATCTCGGTACGGGGTAATAATATGTATACGGACACACACACACACATGTATAACTGAATCACTTTGTTGTACACTTGAAACTAACACAACACTAACTAAACTTCAATATTAAAAAAAAGGAAAAAATTAAAAGAATCCATCTCAATATTCAGAGGAGGAAAAAAAGGCTGAATGTAACATTCTATCTTAACTATTATTGAAGCCACACAAATATCACGTATATTTAGGGAAAAGGCCAGGTTCCAGGAAAACAAAAAGCAAAAACAACAGAAGTCAATTTATGCCCCTGAGAGTGGAAAGGTAAGACACTGTAGATATACATTTGTATACATATTACCATTTCTTTGCAACCTTCTGACAAAGAAAGGAAGTAAGTGAAAATGGAAGGGTGCTAGTGGTTAAAAAACAAACAAAAACAAAAACACCCTGCCTGGGAATACAGAAAACTTAAGAGACTGCAGGTTCAATTCCTGGGTCAGGAAGATCCCCTGGAGAAAGGCATGGCAACCCACACCAGTATTCTTGCCCGGAGAATGGTCACAAAGTGTCGACAGACTGAAGTAACTTAGCAGGCACAGGGAAGAGTTACATATTTTCCCTTTTCTCCCCTGGTTTGCTTTGCATGCATAGTGAAGTGTTGGGGGTGGTGCTTCTCTCACACTGATTATCTCCGGCTTCCCCCGCACCCGAAGACCCTTCTCTGGGCTCAGCCTTGAACTCCTGGTGGAGCAGCACCCTGCCCTTCAGACGTTCCCCTCATAAAGTGAAGGCTACTCCCCTGGTAGACAACCCCTTCTTAACCCACTGGACTAGGAAGTCACCAATAGAAGTTCCAAGCTGGGACCTAGAAGCTGCTGACAACCGTAATAGAAAAGAACATGAAATAATAGAAAAGAATATAAAAAAAAAAACCTGTGTGTGTGTGTGTGTGTGTGTGTGTATGTTAAACTGAAACACTTTGCTATACAACAGAAATAAACACAACAGCATAAATCAACTACATGTAAATAACATTAAACACACGTTACTGACAAATCTGAAGAATTGATGCTTTTGAACTGTGGTGTTGGAGAAGACTCTTTGAGAGTCCCTTGGTCTGCAAGGAGATCCAATCAGTCCATCCTAAAGGAAATCAGTACTGAATATTCATTGGAAGGACATGCTGAAGCTGAAACTCCAATCCTTTGGCCACCTGATGTGAAGAACTGACTCATTGGAAAAGACCCTGATGCTGGGAAAGATTGAAGGCAGAAGGAGAAGGGGACGACAGAGGATGAGATGGTTGGATGGCATCACCGACTCAATGGACATGAGTTTGAGTAAACTCCGGGAGTTGGTGATGGACAGGGAGGGCTGGCATCCTGCAGTCTATGGGGTCCACAAGAAGTCAGACACGACTGAGTGACTGAACTGAACTGACAAATCCTAGGCCTGGAGGCGAGTTGGCGGGGGAGGGGGGTGGCGTGGGGATGACTTACTTTAATAAATGATCATATGGAAGACCGCATGGGTATTTTAGACTTCAAGGTAAATTAACTTGGAATCTCAGTACATTGACCACTGCTTTATAACTCAGATTGTACTTTTAAACTCGGTGTGACAAATGCTGATGACAACCACAAATGCTGATGAAAAGTCACAGATTGAGTTTACTTCTTCCCAGGCAGGAATGGCCACGTGACACCCATCGATGGCAAATGAGTCATAAACAGATGTTTCTGAGAAAGCTTTTACTTTCCTGATAGAAGGAATACATACGGTGGGCATCAACCTTTCTATCTTTTGTTCCTGTTATGACTGGGGAAGGGCACAAGGAAAAAGTGAAGAAGGGCAGAGGGCCAGCTCTGAAAACACAGAGGCTGAACACACATCAGGAGGCATTCACCTCAAAGAATTTGTTGTTATTATTATTTTTAATCCCTGTTTAGTGAAGCAACTCAAACTCAGTTTTTTTTACTGTTGTTTCTGCAGAAAACACTCACTGATACTCAAGATCTTCTGTTTTTTTAAAGCCAGAGTGTGAAGCTTCACTCTATCAAATCCCAATGCTCATGGTGTTAAGTATTTGGGGAAGCAAAAAATGAAACAAAACCTGGAAACTAGGTGGTAGTTGTTGTTGCTCAGTTGTGTCCAACTCTTTGTGATCCCATCAGCTGGAGCCTGCCAGGGTACTCTGTCTATGATACTCTTCAGGCGAGAATACTGGAGTGCGTAGCCATTTCCAAGTGGTCAGGATCTTACCAACGCAGGGATCAAACCTGAGTATCTTACATTGCAGGAAGATTCTCTACCATCTGAACCACCAGGGAACTACATTAGCAGAGAGTAAAAATAAGAGCTGCCATGTATTGAATGGTTATAGGTGATGGTAATAAGCCTTCTACATGCATTAAGTCATTTCAGTTTTACAGCATCTCTCTAAGTGGCGGGTTGTTAAGTACCACTTTCTGCATTTGAGAAAATGCTTCAAATATGTGTCTTCTAAAGTTATGTAGCTAGTAAGTGGGGACTGAATTTGAATGCAAATCTGACTCAAAAGCCTCACAATTCCATTTCAGTTCAAGTGAATGGACCCTTAGAAGTCTGACTAGGGTCATTTAGTGAGTGTCTGCATTATGGCAACAATGAAAAAGGGAAGGTGAAGTCGTCTGACTCTCTGCGACCCCGCGGGTGGCCTACCAGACTGTCTGAGCCACCAGGAAGTCAATGATACACAGTTCAAAAAACCAAAATATGAGAACCTAAAGGATCTGTGTGGTTCCTCACCTATTTACATTAAGTGTGACATCCATCTTAAAGGTCACTCAGTGATCCCTTTGGCTGGACTGTGATTCCAGTTCTGTATGAGTGTGTTATGGACACACCCAGAAAAGGTCTCAAGAAAATAT